GAACCAAACATATTGAGATCGATTTGCACTTCGTCAGAGAGCGAGTCGCCCTCGGTGAAGTCCGCGTCCTGCACGTTCCCACTACGTCCCAGTACGCCGACATCTTCACCAAAGGTCTGCCGACGTCTGTCTTCATGGAGTTTAGGTCCAGTCTCAATGTTCGCGGTGCTCCCAATTTAGATTGCGGGGGAGTGTTGGAATGTAATATGGCAAGTGGGCCTGTCCACAAGCCTATATATATGTATGACGATCAATCACAGTAATGTATTGAGAATTCCCCAATCACTTTCTATCAGTTAGTCCACATCTGTGTTAACCACCGCTAGGAGGTGATTTGTGTCTTTGTCTATCCCGGTCACTAGTGGTACCTCGCTGTTTTGTGATCCGGGACGTGTTTGTATTCCCACTCCTTAATGAAGCATGTGCTAAGCACGCTTTGGAAAAGAAAACTCTGCGACCTCTGGCATCACCACCTCCTCCACCTCGGTGCTAATGGCAACGTCGCCAAGTCGCCAATAATGCCAGCGAGCAGCTTCTTCCTGCTAATGAAGCGTATACCGTCGTCAACCTCAAGACATATGTGGCGATCACCCTAGAGCTCCAGAATCTCAACTACTCCAAGTGGCCATGTAGTTCATCCGCTCCATCTGCAGAAGTTCAGGCTTCTCCATCACATTGATGACACCGCCCCTCGCACTGATGATCTCACCAGGCCTTCGGTTGACACCAGCTGTGTGTAGTTCGACCTACGGGTGTAGTTGATGCCTGTCTGTGTAGTTGGATGTACGGGAGTGTATAGTTGATGATGTCCTTGACTTACCATGGAGCCCGAAAAGACGGCGCGTGCCATGTCGACAGCCGTTGAGGGCCTCGTTCTAGGCCAGCAAGGAGGAGACGCATGCTATCATCCTACACCACGAGTTTTCCCCCCAATGTCAACTACTAATGCAAGAGCATGAAAGTCATTGTCAACTCCCTGTGGGCAACTTGTGGGCTGCACTAGGGTTGGCTAGCAAACGTTATCAACAACACAACATGGCATGGGACGCTGTGATATAGGCCTGGCCACCTGGGCTCAGTAGTTACTGTGTTGGCATTTGGGCTTTCCTAGTATGCTCGGTGACTATCTGTATGTGGACATGCATGTTTCTCTGACCTGGCTAGGGCCTCTGGCGGCCTTTTGGAACCCATTCGCTGGCCCAACGTCACCTTGATCGGCTAGTCTATAAGCCGCTTGTGCTGATTTGTACGGCTGGTTTGTTGGGAGAGAAAAATATTGTACCATGTCTTATATGAGCAGCCGAACATGGCTATTAATTAAGTACTGAAGTGCATGCATCGCATACGTACGTGGTACGTGCACTTGTTGTAATGTGCCCGCAAGCCAAGCTAGTGCTAGCTGCGTACTTACACGTAACGGCACAAGGGTTGTTGTTATAGTATTATCATCAATCAACCCGGCTGTACGTATGTACGTATTACGTACCACTTATCCCAACGATCAGTGAGAAACTCAATGCGTCACTCGATCAAGCTATCAAACCCTCTACGCTTTCACTTACGATCGTCGATTTCTATTTTCATCTACCAAGGTACCGAGCATATAGTAATTTTGTAATATAAGAGAAAAAAATTATGGCAATTAGAATACCAACGTCCAGCATGCTCATGTAGGAAAACGTTTTTTTTTGGGCGAATTTAGAAAAACGTTACAAGCATGCTCATGTATTAGAGCATCTAGGATATACAACTTGTTCCGGCCTTGCCAACAATGATAACAAGACAGCTATATTTATTGGATTTATTTACCTTGGCTTTGTCTAACCATATCATAATCAAATCAAATAAATTTCAAGGCTTACAATAAATACTAGGTACAATAAAAAATAAGTTCCACGAGGAAGATTGTTTCAGCTTAAGTATCTATTTTTCCCATCTGTTGTGAGGTTAGGAAAGGTAAAAGGCGAGCCACATGTCCCCGTGCCTAACAAGTAAACACACACACGAGCTCAATTAGTTAACCTACGATATAAGTGATACGACACTAGCGAAGGCTCTGCACATCTAAAGGGTAACCGATCGACTCCTTTCGCACGCGGGTCTACGTTTGCTAATCCGAAAAGCAAGAAGGGTAGGAATACGAGACGATACACGTAGTAGTAATAGACGATAGACTAAGGACAAAGCAAGTGGTGAAATCGAGATGAGAAGGAATAAGCTAAGAGGTGACAGTCCGAGGACGAAACAGGAGGTGTGGAACCGCAGGAGTAAGGGCAAAAGTGAGAGATGGCATACTGATAACGGAAGAAGGGGTCTACGTTAGTATAACGATGCTTTCTATTGGCGCTACCCTTTTTTTTTACCGGCGGTTCGCAAAGAGCAGGTGCCAGGTGCCACTAGAAATAAAAATTGTGGGTTCAAATCATGAACCGCTAGTATAAATTCATTTTTACTGACTATTTTCTTAAGTTTACCGTCAGTAAAAATACATGATTTTTATTGGCGGTAGCCTTAAGAAAACAACCAGTAAAAATGTATTTATAGTGATGGTTTTCATAAGCTAGCGTCACTACAAATAGATGCCGAATATTAAAAATTAATTACTAAAATTTGAATTTTTCAAACGACCTCAAATGAAGAAATGATCAAAATAAAAGTTGTAGATCTCAAAAAGTTATAGAACTTTGTTGTTTACAATATTTCCATTTAAAATCATTTGATGTTTCAAAATATTGTTTGAAATTCAATTTTTAAATGATCGAAGAACTCTGATCTCTCATTTTAATTTCAGACTAAAACTTGTAACTAGTCTTTCTCCCTCGTACTATCTTCAAATTACTTGATGTTTTTCCTAAAGTTTTATAAAATCATGCTCTATTAATTTATTGTGTTCTTACATCTAATATTTTGCTCATCTTTTCTTGTGAACATTTCAAATTTTGATTTTCAAAAATAATAACTTCAAACAACATTTTGAAACATCAAATGATTTTAACTGAAGAAGTTATGAACATAAAAGTGGTAGAACTCATCAAGATCTACAACTTTTATTTTGGTCATTTCTTCATCTGATAAAGTAGTAGCAAACGTTGTTCACAAATTACATATCTCTTATATAGTTTCATAAACTATGTGAGAGATTTATAAATTTGTGAACAATGTAGACTATCACTTTGTCGGATGAAGAAATTACCAAAATCAAAGTTGTAGACCTTGATGAGTTCTACAACTTTGTTGTTGATGACTTTTGCAGCCGAAATCATTTGCTATTTCAAAATCTTGTTTGAAGTTCTCATTTTTTGAAATTCAAAATTTAAATTGTTGAAACCAAGTCACATGAAAAGATGACCAAAATAAAAGTTGTAGATCTCGATGATTTCTAGAACTTTGTAGTTGACAATATTTTCATTTCAACTCATTTTATCACAGAAAACTACGTTTGAATTTCTCAAATTTGAAATTTGAATTTTTTAAATGACCTCGGATGGAGAAACAACCAAAACAAAAGTTGTAGAACTCAAAAAGTTATGCAACTTTATAGTTAACAACTTTTTCATTTTAAGCCATCTTGTCTAGGAAAACTATGTTTAAATTTCTCAAATTTGAAATTTAATTTTTTCAAATGACCTTGGATGGAGAAACAACTAAAATGAAAGTTACATATCTCGAAAAGTTATGCAACTTTGTAGTTGACAACTTTTTGATTTGAATTCGGTTATGATCTCAAATAATCAATTTAAACTCGGTTGAGGATAATATGAGGGGAAACAAAATTCTTTATAGACACAAGTGAGTATGAGGTGCACTGGTTAGAGGAGTATTCCGCGAAGAGGAGGTCACAGGTTCGAATCCTGCTGGCCGCGAAGTGCGTGAAAATGCCTTGACTTGTGAATCCGATGGAGCGGGCGCCTGATTTGGAATTTTCGAAAATCATTTATAGTGGCAGTTTGTTTAAGAAAACAGCAAGTGTAAATCATTTGTAGTGGCGGCAACCAGTGTAAATTATTTGTAGTAGCGGTTCTCTAGAAGACGCATGTGAAGTTCGCGATTTTCGCTGGCCTTTGCCAGTGGCGGTATTGACAGATGCATGTATAAATAGCTTTGGAGCTGTACTAGTGGTAGCACCGTGGAAGTGAGGGATGGACGGACGAGGGGTACGAGCGAGAGATGATAGGCCGAAGTTGAAAGAGGTGTTGGCCTGCCGGCCTATGTGATTTAAGCAAGCGAGGGAGGGATGGGTGAGAAATTAACGATAGATCAAGAGGGGTGGGAATCCGGGACCGTGGAACAAATATAGTGATGAGAGTACGTGTGTGGAAGGGATGAAAGGAAATTTGTTCCTTAATTAATTTTACTAAAGAAAATAAGCCACCATGTACTTCCTCTATTCCAAATTATAAAATATTTTGCATTTCTAGATACATTACTTTATCTATATATCTAGACATAGTGCACAGGGAGGGCTATGTATCTAGTAAATCGAAAATGTCTTATAATTTTGAATAAATCGAGTATAAATAATGGGATGAAATGTAGACGCGAGGCGTGGGGTGTTTAACTAATTCACTCATATGTGTTCACCACCGCATAGCGTTGGTTAGGTGCAAATGTGACTCAACGGGATATACCACGCATGCACGTTCCACAAATAAGAAACTACTTGCTGTTCCACACGCACCAACCTTTGGTTCAATGCCGCAACGAGTACTTCAGCTGTACATGCAATGCAACCAACGCCCTCGCTGGCCACCTGCACCAGCCTTATCCCGGCCACCACACGCTTTCATCCCTAACTGACGACGCCCAGGGCCCACGCGCAGCGGCACACATTAACTGATCAGCGGCCCACCCATTTGGCCGGGTTGGCGCCACGATCGAGCCTATAAATTCATGGGAGCTCGTCACACTTCAAAACGCACTCGACCGGCCCCGTACACTTCATCTCGATCGTGCTCCTCTACATCCACCTAGAGCTAGCACTCGGAGATACATTCTCCGAGATGGTTCGTGTCGCGCCCCTGCTGCTCGCCGGCGTCGTGGCTGCAGCGGCGTCGCTGCTGCTGCTGGTTGCGCCATCGGCGGCGGAGCTGACGCGGGTGGAGCACCCGCCCAAGAGCGAAGGCTCGCTCGCCATCCTCGCAGTTGGCGACTGGGGGCGCCGGGGGCAGTTCAACCAAACCCTCGTGGCCCAGCAGGTAACTGATGGAAACAGTCACCATGCACTCAATCACACACGATCTACAATATAGACCACTTCAGCTTTTGTAACTTTGACTATTTTTTTGTGAAAAAATAAACATATTATTTAACATCTGTACAAGAGGCGCCACTAATTGCTTTAATGACACATAATTCTTGGAGAATTTAGTGAAACAAGTTTGCAATGGAGAAAGTAGTTTGGAATGGAGAAAGTAGTAAGTTGAGTGTTGTGCAACAAAACCGTACATGTGTATCAAAGAATATAAGTTTGGTTAATTCATTGAGCATTGAGGTTCTCAACTCTGGTATTACAACTATACTTGTTCGCCAGCATGTGGAATTATGATTATTGAGAAAATATTGTTAAAGTCTTGATGGTGTAAGAATATTGTTAAAGGGAAATGGTGCACATACTCAATTTTCTTCTTAATCATTTACTACAGATTTATTACTAGAGATATGCATGGTTGCTAGGCTCACATGCTTCTCCATGGCCATGGACCGCATAGTTAGCTGTGACATCGACCAGTACACCCTAGTCTATTGAGCTAGGAGCAACGCAAAATAGGCAATCGCTATGTATCGATCGAACTTTTGCAAAACATACATTGTGTTACTCATCAGTATCATGGAGGCAAGCTTTAAAATTAGCAGGACAATTTGGAACTCTCAGTTCCACAACAAGAACTCCTGTACTTCTGTAGAGTACAAGTCATATTTTGAAAATAAAATATAGGAGCACTACCTCCATTTCTGAATTATAAAGTCGTTTTGGCTTTTTTAGATATATAGCTTTTGCTATGCATCTAAATATACACTATATATGTCTGCATTACATAGTTAAACTTATAAATCTAGAAAAGCCAGAACAGACTTACAATTTGGAATTAATGTGGTCAATACTCAGCCTTAACTATGTACCTTCAAAAATATATAGTTTGCGCCATGTGTGTTGCCCCCAACCAAGGTGCATTGCATTCCAGCATCTCAGTATATATGTCACCCTACCTTTTCTGTCCATAACAGTTTGTTGTTTAGCTAGCATGCATGGACGAGTGTCAACGAGACAATAATGGTATTGGAAAGTTGAAACAATATATGTACGGCAAACGGTAATGATGCACGTGCCTTGGTCCTGATCTGAAGTAGTGCACTTGGTATATATGGTGGTCATGGACCTCCATTCATTTCATTATTAATAGCCGAAAGTGGTGGCGCCAGTAGTTATGTATCTCCGTTGATTAGCTTATGTGTACGATCGCACTGTTTTTTCTGTTGGAACAGTTACAAGCTCAGATCGTATACGAAATCCCAATTATTGTTCCCTACACCTATGTAGTAGACTATTGGATACGATGAAAACCAAAAATATGAGATATGTACGTGTGTCAATTATTGCTAATCAATCTCCTGATCATCAAACTGTTCTTCTTTGTGTGTGAATATATGTACTGTGTAGATGGGAGTGGTGGGGGAGAAGCTGGACATCGACTTCGTCATCTCCACGGGCGACAACATCTACGACGACGGCATCGCCAACACCAGCGACCCGCTCTTCAAGGAGTGCTTCACCAACATCTACACCGCCCAGAGCCTCCAGACGCCGTGGTACATCGGTAATGCATGCATAGAATCTGTAACTCTCTATATACTCTTGTCGCAGACTGCACATGCATGCATGCTACGGTCCAGTGATGGCTTCAGAGTTCAGTGATGCTCCTGTTCATCCTGTACGTGCCATGCGTTCCTGCAGTCCTCGGCAACCATGACTACACGGGCAACGCGCTGGCACAGCAGGACCCCGCCATCCGCGAAGTTGACAGCCGGTACCTCAACCTCGCCAAGTCCTTCATCGTCAACTCTGGTTAGCAAATCAACCCCCAATGATCATGCGATAGTAGCAACTATCATAAATGTTTACAAAAGTCGATGAACCTTCATGTCATTTGTTACATATATGGATGTATATATATTTGTAATTTGTTGTTCACCAATCACTGAATAGAAATCGCGGACTTCTTCCTCGTGGACACATCACCGTTTTACCTCAAGTACTGGAACAGCAGCAAGTACGATTGGAGAAACGTTTCTCCTCGCGACACCTACATCGAAAACCTCCTCAAGGTGGAAATTTACTTTGTACACAGCGTGCTAGAGTCCTATATATACAATGATCTGAATATATTTTAATCCGATTATCGAAACTTTTGTTAGGATCTGGACGATGCCCTCGTCCAATCTGAGGCTCCATGGAAGATTGTGGTTGGTCACCACCCCATCAGCAGTGGCTGCGAGCATGGGAACACCACTGAGCTCCAGGAGTTGCTCCGACCAATCCTTGAGGCATGTTCTCAGTACTCTAGCTACAGAGAGATGAACAATTCGGAAACTGATTTTATTAATTTCATTATCGGCCATGCAATGGCAATGCAATTCATGCAGGCGCGCGGGGTCGACATGTACGTGAACGGCCATGACCACTGCTTGCAGCACATCAGCAGCAGAAACAGGTGCTCTAGTTATTCACAAGTACCATGCATCGTGGATCTGAGTATACTGCTGAATTTTCATTATTACTGTGATATATGTTCTAAAATGAGAAAAAAAATGCAGCCCTGTTCAGTTCATGACAAGCGGCGGTGGGTCCAAGGCATGGGCCGGCAAGGTCAAGACCACATCTGACAAGATAGAGTTCATCTACGACGGCCAGGGATTCATGTCGATGCAGATGAGCAACACGGAGGCGCACCTCGTCTTCTACGACGTCGCTGGCAATGTCCTGCATACCTATGACAGCACCAAGAGCGAAGAAGAAGAAGAGGATGATGACTAATTAGCTAAGCTATAGATGGCTGGGGTATATATCAAGCTGGACAACAACCTGTGCGTGCGGGTTCATTAATCGGGTCAACTGAATGTGTGTGTTTGAGCTGGAAGCAGTTCGTTTGTGTGGTTTATTATGTGTCTTTGGTAAGTTTAAAATGTGCGTGGTGTGGAGAAGAGAGGATTGTATCTTCTAGTTGGGTCACTTGAGGGGCTCACGACTAGAAATCATTGTAAAATTAAAGCACGATCATTGCATAGTAGCTGATTTTTTTTTTTTTTGAGGAAACTGGAGGGGCTTGCGCCCCTACAGAGGTTTTATTATTAAATGAGCACACAAAAATTTACAGAGCGATTGAGTACAAAGAAGAAAGTTCAAGACACAAAAAAGAATATAGCTCTGCATGCTGGAATACTTGGCTATAAACCTTTGAATATGAAATCGTTTCTCGAGCACCAGATTGCGCAACAGAGCAAAACCACTGCTTCCATGAAGAATCGAGAATGCAAAGAGTCTTTGAGATAGAGCATTACTTCTGGGAAGTCAGCACTGGATGGGATATGAATCTGAAGAAATTGCCAGCACTGCTTAGCAAACTGACACTGAAGGAAGAGGTGTTGAGAAGTCTCTTCCACGTCAAGGTTGCATAGGATACAACTGTAAGAGGGCAGGTGCATGTTCCTTTTCCTGAGGATATTTCTTGTGCTCAACCTGTCTTTAAGCATATTTAAAGTGCATACAAATATATACTCCCATTCAAAAGGTGAGATGAAAACTCGCTTTTGAAAAAATAATGCAAAAATAAAATTTCAGGTGTATTTGCACAAACACACAAAATCATTGGAATTGTTTTCTAGTGTCCATGCATCCAAAATGTGTCATTTTTATATGAATGTTTATAGTTGAAGTTTGCATCCCAACTTATGCATGTGAGTATATATTTGTATGCACTATGGATATATGAAATTATAAAAAAATTTAAATGACCAAAATACGTCTTCTAAATTGGTTTCTATATTTTCACCTAGTATGTAGTTTCCACCACATATTTTTGGGTGTCAAAAGCTTATAGATGTTTGAACCGCACCTTCCAGTTCGGGTTTGCACACCAGAGATAGCATGTTGCTATTTGCATGCAACTTCAAACATCTTGCATCTATATCTATATCTATATCTTTATCTTTATCTATAAATATCTATATCTATATCTATATCTATATCTATATCTATATCTAACATTAAAGACATAAGATTTCTTAGTCCTTCATGGCTCACAACGATCCAATAGGATCCAATGGATCCAATCTCTTGTCTTCGTACAAGTTAGAGTAGCATGTGCATGTATGGTGCGGAGTGTGCTTCCAAGACGAATTGGAATAATACAAAGCCTTTCGATAGTCTGCCACTCTCTTACACACCTGTACGTGTTAGAATAGAGTGTTCAGAAACTGTGTGGAATCCGATCCGAAACAAATTGGAACCCATAGTGTGATCACTGATAAATATCAAAACCTCCCATACCCATACAATTTAGAGCAGCACGTATCTAGGAAAGGTACGAAGTTCAATTTCCAGACGAATTAGAAGGCATGGTATGATCACTGAATAAGTCTCCTTGCCACAAGTCTAGATTACCATGTAACAACTTCGCGCAAAGTCCCATTGCAATGTAAGGGGATGTTTGCTAGTCAATTAATAGAGGTGGACATCTTTAGATGCCGACCTCTATAATTAGTTGTCACCAAACAATTTATAACTTTTGTATATACAGTCCAATGAAAATAATTAAATTTTGTATCAAAATTGTAGAGCTCATCATACAACTTTGTAATGATAAGTTCTTATTTGAAATTATTCAAAGTATTAACAATTTGTTTTATGATTTGATATTTTGAAATTCCAAAATTAGAACTTTTGAGCAACCACAGATGTTGAGATAATCTATATACCAAAGTTGTAGTTCTGAATGCTATCTAACTTTGTAGCCGATAAGTTACTAATTGGAAGTATTTAGAGTACCAAAAATGAGTTTTAGTTTCTCACTGTTTGAAATTCAAATTTTCGAGTTCTCAAATGACCTCAGATGTTAACTTGCTCAATGCCAAAGTTATAGTGGTCGGGGTCAGCGTGATATGCAACTTCATAGTTAGCAAGATTTTGATTTGAAGCGTGACCTAAGCAATGTATGTTTTGGGATTTAAAAAATGTTTTGTTCTTTTGGGTGTTTCCTGTTTTCTGAAAATCATTTATAGAAACGAGGGATATCTGCATCTGTTAATCGGTTCATAGAGTTGGTTGGATAAACCACCCCTTTAAATAGCCCATTTAACAAGGACCATTGGACATGGGCTGCATCAGGGAAAAACAGCTGCATTTGAAAACATTTCTAGAAGTGTATGTAATAATAACCAAGACTGTATGTTAGGATTAAAAAAATGTAAAACCAACCAAATAAGCCGTACAAGAAAGTATTTTTAACCAGCCAAAAATACAAAAGGGTAATAAGCCAGATATTGGAGGATATCAACATTGCATTTATTAGTAAAATTCATTAAATAAATAAACAAAGTCTGTAGAACCACATAGAGAAAAGAGGAATCAAAACTAGAGCACACATGATCATCATGAACTGGATCGATATTCACATATTTAATATTCATATCTACGGAGATATGCATGTAAGAAAACCACATTCATGAGCGAGATATGGAAGCACACTGGTGCTGGATTTTGTGATAGAAAGCATTTATATGCAGATCGATTGTTCTTCTATATAAGAACCTGCAAACTAAAATGGAGAACAAATACACATACACATACTCCTCTCTGCAGCACATCAGAAGAAGGGAATTTGATCCTCTTTTTCTCATGGCGGTGGTCAAGAAGACACTCGTCATAGTCCTGGTTGCTGCGATCCTGTCTTCAATATCTCCGTGCTACGAAGCCGGCCGAAGCTGTAGGCACCACCCTAGTAACTTTTCAATATTCTTCTTAAGACTAATGAGTTACTGTATAATCAACTATTCTTGTTTGAAATGTGATGCAGCATGTGCAGGCATTGGCTGCAATCAGCTAGATGCAACACCTTGCGTGGACCCTATCAAGAACGACGCGGACCACTGTACAACTGCAACATGTGCCTTGAGATGCCTAGCCGCTAGACACAGGACCAGGTCTGCCTACTGTAAACATGAGGGCAGCAAATATGAGTGTTGCTGCCCACCATGAGAACTAAGAGCAGGGGTTGTGTAATACTTTGAATAAAATACAATTCATGTGTCTCCAATAAAGAGAGGAAGAAATATTGACTTTATGAGACACTAGCTCACATGGATGGTTGGACACGGAGCTTTTCGAAATGAATTCATTCGACTACATATACAAAACGTTTAAATATCAACGTATGAGATGGGGAAATCCTATTCTTTCCAAAAATATATTTCCAGATACCATGCCTGGGCTTCAAACAACCACCTCTTAGAATACAGGTATTTTCAGACATTCTAATTGTATCTAAACAACTGCATCTGAAAATAGAGACTTCTAGAGGTGGCCGTTTATGTTGATATTGCGCGCATCTGGAAATCGTCCTATTTCGAGAAACGGTTCACAGCTTCACATAAGGAACCTTTTTCGAAGAATTTTCAATTTAAGAGGTGGTTGCTTAATTTGGTCCAATTTCATCCTAGCGTCCCAATTGACACTCTCCTTTCAATGCTTTTCAACATTACAAACTAAGGGTGGACCTAGTAAAAAAAGTTTAGGGGTGGAGCTAGCTACAGAGACAAGCTAAACTAAAAGCACAAAAAGAACATGCATCACTACTACAGAAAACATTATCGCGACAACATTTTCACCAATGCTTCATAAAAAATGCTTGTGATAATATATCACCAATAGATAGTAATACAACAATTGGTGAAAAACATTAGTGAATCGTTGGTGAAAATCGGGGACATCTTTACCTTTGGCTCGTATGAAGTAACTTTATTGATGAACATCCAACAAATGATCATCATTTCATGTGTAGGGAATCAGAGAAATAGTACATGAGACAAGATTTATATTAATTTACATACGGGTACCCAATACGTCCAGTGAAGACTAACTTCTTTATGTTTTGTGTACACAGGACAGATTGATTGGCTTCTAAGTATATATATTTAGTCAACGCATTGGCACAAAGTTGATGAATTAACCCCTCCAAGTCGGTCCTTCCGAGTGGTTACGTGGCCCATCTCGCCCTGGTTGGCCGTTTTCCCCTGCAGTGAGGGTACCTAGAGCCCATAGTAATGACACACTCTTACATCTATCTCTCTCCATCCATATCCCCTTTTACTCTCTCATTTATTTCTTTACTCCCTCTCCTAACCAGAGAGAGAGAGAGAGAGAGAGAGAGAGAGCATGGGTGCAATGGTGGTCATGTGTGACAACAATGACAATGGCCCTGGCGGCGACAGACTGGTGTCGGCCACCTCGGCCCCAGCCTTAGGCCAGGCCAGTCTCAATGGGAGTTTCACAGGGATGTCATGCACATTTAATGTGGTGACACATCAACAGTAAAGGAATTTTTGCATGAAATGGGGAGGAGAGAGAAGGAGAAAGTTTCATCTCGGTGAAACGAGGTCGCATTGTTTCCAAAGTCTTGGTATTCGCGTGAAACCAGCGTTGAGGAAGATCGTTTCATCATCCCTGATCCCGTGCGCGTGCAGAGCCAGCCACCATCATCCCCATCCTCCCACGCTGCCGAGGATTCTTCCCTCCCTGTACCATCCAGCTCCCACCCCGTCCGTGCGCGCAAACCCACCCTATCCGACGTCCGCATCCGCCGTCCGCCGTCCGCCATCCCTAGGGTTTACCAATCTTTCTTTATTTATCTGTGCAACTAGTTCATTCTTTCCATCTGCAAACCAACAATGCCCAATCTTTCTTTATTGTGACTAGGCCAAGCAAACATTTTTTCTGAATTCTGTACCTAATACATAACCATGTAGCAGTACTTTCATTGT